ATTATAGCTCACACTTTTAGTGAGGTTAGCAACTCGATGCTTTTCTTACATACGTCAATATCGTCGTAAATGAGCGTTCTGACATCAGTGTTTCATAGAATTAAAATCTATTTTACTCTTTTGGATAGTTATGCAAGTTTTTTGTTTCAGGCGACAAGACAAGCTATACTTACAGGTCGATCACGTCGATTTTAAGTCAAGGTATCTGTTGCCGATTGCGAAAATTTCACTTCTATTCCTTTTATTCACTTCACTTCTACTTTACTCCGCTTATTACCTCAATATCTTGAGTCTTTCATGAATGTTGACATTTTCGTTATTTGTGAATGTGAATTTCTTGCAAATGTTTCTGTCTGTATAAATGCGTTTTAAAAGCGAAAAAACGTTGAAACCACTAGCTTTGATTGATGTTGCTGGAAAGTGTTACTAGATTCTTTCATTCATAAATGTTCTGATCATATGAAAGAAGAGCAATGTTAGAGAAGGTGCTTTGCACTATGTACACACGAGATTTAAAGTAACATGTGAGTTCTAATTTTGAGAGGCCACAATTTATCGCTCAAAGCGTACTGCAGCGCAATCTACTTGCTGCTCAAAGGAATGTATGCATGAGATCCACCGTTTGTGCCGTGTACCTTAAACTTATGGTTACTGGCACGGGATAGCCAATCAGAAATAGCTTGACAGTCCTGACAACGGTTGAAGTTCTGACCTTGTCAGAAAGGGCCTTTCCTTCAAAGGGATCGAGAAAGAGGGAGGGTATCGGGGTTATGGAAGGAGGGAAATGCTAGGGGGAAGGAGGAGGGGTGAGGGTAAAGTTGGGAAGAGAGTAAAGAGCCACGTTTATTAAAGTGTAGATACAATCGTTATGTACACACATATGTACATATATGCACAATGTACTACTCATATATACGTATATATGTATATATATGTATATATACATATATATGTATCTTCATACAGTCCATCACTTCCAGTGGGTTATTTCCTTTATTTTAACTGAAATTACCTCAATCGACCTTTGAGACTTGAGATTCCCATGATATATATATATATAATATATATATGCACATATATATACATGCACGTATACATGTGTTATGCGTACGTATATGTATGTGTTTATGTATGTCTACACATATGTAAATTATATACACGTATATGCGTATATATGGAGGGTATGTGGCACAGTGATGCCCTGCGTCACACACACCACAAGTCACAAGGTCGATGGTTCGATCGCGTGCTCATGGCTCATCAAGCAATCCATCCCTCCGTAGTTGAAGAATCGGTACCAGACTTGTCTGGGTGGATAAACAGCACTGATTCGATATAGCAGTAAGCCTACGCAAATCATTTTGGAGGCCAGAAATGCATCCAACTACCTCACACGAAGCTGGAAATTAAAGACGAATACATTGAGCATCTCCCAGAGATTGATCATCGCCGAGAGCGCACTTTTGCTTTGTTCTTTTTTTTTTTGTTTTCTTGAGGGGTCAATGCGAAAAGACTGTGGTATGTTGAAAAGTGGATTCTTTTCGGTTATCCGAAGGCGAATGAGTATTCGACCCATTCACTGGACAAGAATTTTTCATAGGTTTTAGTAATCCTTCGAAAGCCTAAATCTCTGGCTACTGCGCTATATGAGGGCTTTTTTCGAAAAGACCCTTTTTAGCACTGTAGCGTATGAATCGAAATTATGTTTCGAACCTGCCGCTAGCCTTCATTTTTATCATGCGTACAATTCTCTGGAAGCACGAAAAGCATATGAACGTGTAAGGGAAATCTCTAAATATCTGAGTCAATCGTTCTATCCAAAGTTTCTCTCAAAGCGAAGAAAAATTCTCAGTTGAATGACCAATTGCACCTTTCATGTTCAAGGCTTCAAGCTTTCGATCGATCGCCCGCACCCCAGCAGGTAGAGTAGTCGGTATACAAGCTCACCGAATATGTGAAACTCGATCATATTTTCCCTGCTACACTGCAGTGAAACGGTTTTTCAAAAAATAAGCACAGCGTTGGAATCATTGAAACTTACGCTATCGAATGATTACTGATAGTCTGAGGAAAAAGCTCTGTCTCTCCTACAGCGTTATCAAAAGTGCTCTTCCAGAAGCAAACAAAGTCGAGTTTTTCGAAACTTGTGCTATCGAAAAAGTACTACCACTCAAAAGAAAGAGTTTTGCAGTAAAATAAAATCGAAATAGAGTTTAAAACTCATGGTGCATGCGCGACATGATTTCGTTCAATATGCTACACCATTGCAAAATGGTCCTAAAAACGGTCATGTAGCGCTGTGGCCAAAGATTTAAGCTTACTAATGATTACTAACACTCCAACGGAAAGTTCTTGTCCAGCGAATGAGGTCGAATAAAAATTTGTCTCCGGATAACCGAAAAGAATCGAGAGTGTTCTAGTGGTTTGAGCAAACGAGCTGATCTGGCCGTAGCAGCATCGCTGGCCATGCGAATGAAGTGGGCTATGACAAAGTGGATTGACCGACCTCGTCTCACATTACAAAGTCGATCCGCCAGATTTTAGAGAAACTGAGCTGGACCACAATACCACGTCCACTGTATAGCTCTGGAAATACTCCATCGGATTATCATCCCTTCCGCACTCTGAAGCAGTATTTGCGGAAGAAAAAATTTAAAGAGTACAACAAGCTCAAATGTGATTTCTCCCCACTTCTTCGATTGCCGGCCTTGTTCTTTCTAAGAGGAAGGCATCTAATCTATGCCTTTTGAATAAATATCAACTGAATTAACGGAAGAGTTGGAAAAACCAATATGAGACAGCCTAACAGTAAAGCTTCGTGGGTATTTGCCCATTATGAGGCGATAAAGGAAAAATCGCTCTGATTCGCTGCAAATGAATTTTTCATAAGAGAGTTGATAATCATTCGAAAGCTTAGAGTTCTGGCTAAGTCCCACATCGCCGGTTTTCGAGAAAAGCCTTCTTTTGACTTTGTCCCAGAAGGAAATTCCTTGCGTTCCAGACACGCATGTTTCTCGCCGGCAGAGCTTTTTCTTTGGACTATTAATAACTATTCGATAGCCTGATCGTTGCTAATTCAAACGCTGTGTTTATTCTCTGGTAAGACCGCTTCTCTGCAATGCAGCAGGGAAAGTTGAATTCACATAGGCGAGCAAAGTGGTCCTTGGCCAATTCACGTGCCGGTGGGTGAGGTGGCCACGTGAACTGCTGACGCGCTACCTCTCCACACGTTCATACGCCCGAAATTCAATGACCATTGTGCGAGCGCATTTTCCGCTTTATCCAACGGCCCGTGAATTGGTCAAAGACCCCTTTGCTCCCCTATGTGAATTCAGCTTATTTTCTCTGTTGCATTGCTGAGAAGCGGTTTTTTCCAGAAAATAAGCACAACGTTGGAATCAGCAACGATTACTTTATTGCATGATTACTAGTAGTCCAAAGAAACAGCTCTGTTCGGCGAGAAATATGCGGGTCTAAGACACAGTTTTGTGTAGGTTTTACAGCGTTATCGAAGGATGTTCTCAAGAACCGGCCATGTGGGGTTCTAGCCAGAACTCTAAGCTTTCGAACGATCACTAATACTCCCATGAAAAATTCCTATCCAGCGAATAGGATTGACTTTTCTTAGTCGCCTCATAGCGGACAAGTGCCGCTTCGCGGTCCGTTTGAGATCGCTCGCATAGTTGCCGTCAGCAGAAACGCGCCAAAGCGTCAACAGGCGTCAATCAAATCTGGCCGGTTACTTTTTTGTTACCTAGTAATTTAGATGGTCGTCGATGGATGCTCTTATAAAGGTTAGTGATCGGATCGATAGCTGACCTGACTGAGCGGCTGCTCGGGCGCCGGTCGGCTGACGTTTCGCTTTCCTTTCCCGTCTTTTCCTCTTTTCGTCTTTTTCTTTCTCTCTCTCCTTTGTTTCCTCTCTATTTTTCTTTCTCTCTCTTTCTCTTTCTCGCTTCCTCTCTTCTCTAATTCCATAGTCGAGAGTTGACTGAACTGCAATCGGCCGGTATTCGTTGCTTCCTAGCACTTCTTTTTGATTAATATCTTGCTTTGAAATTTCTCACTCTCTTAATTTCTTTTCTCTCTTTCTTTTCTCTTTTCCTTTCCATTTTTCTTAGTTAACTTGAGTGAACTGTAGTTCTTTCCAGTTTATGTCGTGGTTTTCCCAAGTTTGATGCCCTTGTACTTTCATTTTTTTCTCTTTTTTCTCTTCTTTTCTTTCATTTTTCCTCGTTTCTCTTCCCTCCTTCGTATCTTAGTTTCTGGGTTTAGTTAGTTTTTCTTAGTTTTTTCGAGTTTCTTCATCTTTTTCCTCTAAGTCGGGTATGGGGCTAGAAGTCTCTAACTCTACGAATTCTGCTCCCCTCCACTATTCCTTCATCTCTTCCTCCTCTTCTTCCTTTTCCTTCTCCTTATTTCTTCTCCTTCTTCTTCTTCTCCTCCATCTTCACCTTCTCCGCCTTCTTTTCCTTCTTTCTTCTCCTTCTTCTCCTTTTTTCTTTCTTCTCCTTATTTCATCTCCTTCTTTTTCTTCTCCTCCTTCTTCACCTTCTTCTTCTTTCTTCTCCTTCTCCTTCTCCTCCTCCTGCTGTTCTTTCTCCTCCTTTTGGTCCTCTTCCTCCCTTCCCTCCGTCTATAAAAGTCTTTTGCTTCATGTTCACTTCAGCTGCTACGGCCGTCTCTAGATGGTGATTATTTCTCGATGCTTACAAGAGTTTATTTTATTTTGTTGCATGTCTGTAGGAGTGCTATGGCGTTATAACTGTATGTCCAATAATGTAAATGGTATACAAAACTTTGGACCTCGAGCAGGAGGAGTTCAACGCGCGTTTCACCCTGTCCGGGGGCGAATGCTAACCACTGCGCTATCGAGGGCTTCTGTCCTGTTATCAATGTTCTCCGATCAATACCGATATGCGCTTACTAGGCCAAACTATCGGCGCGTAATTGTTGACAGAATCAATACCTTGTATCGCAAAAATGTTGCCAGAACAGGAGCCTCGGTAGTGCAATGTATGCAAGCGCCCCTGGAAAGGGTGGAATGCGAGTTCAACTCCCGCCCAAGGCAGAGAGTATTGCTAATCCACGCAACCTTATTCGATCTCCATGGGTTTAGTTTTTCTGGACAGTATCGAGTCTATCCTGTGCTTGTACCTCCATTAGAGAAGGTTTTATCCAGCATTTATCACACTCTGAGTTGTTTATGTTTATGTCTTCTGTTGTTCTGACTAGGTTTTCCTTGGTCATTCTTGCCTTTACAGACTAACCGAAAAGCCTCAGAGACGTTCAGATGCCTCGGATCGAATTCGAGCCTAAACTTGACTTCAAAGATGTGCTACTTAGACCAAAACGCTCTACTCTGAAAAGTCGATCTGATGTTGACCTAGTGCGAGAGTTAGTTTGTAATGTTTCTTATTTATTTTGTGATTTCCATAAGATTTATTTGAAAAAAAGAGGAAATGAGAGCTCCCAAGAAATATGGAGTGAGGAGGAGGGAGTATCTGCAACTGTCTCTAAGTATCTAAAATAATTTCAAAAAAGAATGTCTAAAGCCTAAACGAGGTTGATACGCCAGGGCCATACACCGGTGGTTTTGGAGGTTTCGGCCTCCTCGTCAATGACCCCCGCCCCACATTAAGCACCACATACGCCTTTCTCCTCGCTACAATACAGGGATTAATGTGGGGCTGGGGTCACTGACGACAAAACACCGGTGTATGGCCCTGGCGTACCAACCCCGTTTAGGCTTTAGACATTCTTTTTTGGAATTATTTTGAATGTCTCTGAGTAGAAGTGGAACATTTGAATAGTTCCCGAGCCCATCGAGGTGGCCATCGTAATCGGCAAGTTTTGGGAATTATTGAAATGCTTGAGAGTCTCGTGTTGTGATGGATTGTAGTAGCACTTCTATAAGCTTGCATGGCCTCGTTGTCCGACCATGGAAGCGGTGATAGTGGACATCCTTTTCTAATAATTCTTTCAGAAATTATAATATCACGAATCACTCTTTTCCTAGCCATTTGAGTACTAGTTGGCCCATTTTGGATCACGTCGCGCGGTATCGCACTTCGCTCGCCTACTGTAATCGCGATATCGCGTCCTCTAGCGAATTTGTATCACCGGGAGCAAAATGGAATCAAAGAGATTTATTTAGTAGTTTTGAGTTTTAAGGTTGAAACGTTTGGAAAGAGGCCAAGGGATATCTGGGTATAAGTTAGAAAAGGCGCAGTTTGTTAGATTATATACGTTTTCTGGTTCCTTTCCGTTTGGTGGCACAGATTTTCAAGCCTATCCCCTACGCTGGACGAGAAGTCTTCATAAAGAGTGTTGGCAATCATTCGAAAGCTCAAAACAAGCCTAGCACTGAGCCCAGCCGGTTTTTTTTAAGACCTTTTATAACGCCATAAAACTCGAAATCATGATTCATATCGGCCGCATAATTCAACTATTGCTTCACTGGAACCAGAAAAGGCACATAAACATATAGGGGAAATCTTCTAATGTCATAGACGCTTAATCCAGCTTTAACCACCTTCGTTCGCACATGCGAATTCAACTCATTTTACCTACTGCGTTGCAGCGAAGCGGTCTTTTCAGAATATAAGCATAGCCCTGGAATCGGTAAATCTTACGCTATCGAATGATTACTAATAGTCCAAAGAAAGAGCGCTATCCGGCGAGAACTATGCGCATGTAAAACATAATTTTACTTGGAATTTTACAGCGTTATGAAAGGATCTTATCAAAAGACGGTTACGCGCAGCGCTAGCTTGAGGTTTGAGCTTTCGATTAATTTTCAACACTATGAAAATCTCCTTTTCCAGCGTCGTGGATATGCGTGAAAATCTGTGCTACTAAACGGAAAAGTACTTTTTCCACTGTCGACTTTTAGTGGAAGTCGGTTATCTCATTTACAAATATAAGTATTGGAAGCATCCGTGTCATACAATTTCTTGTCAGAATGTTCATTCAAGTTATCTGCAGAAAACGGCTACACACGTATTCATACAGTGCCTTTCTTTCCAATTGTTTTTGAAAAACCTTGCCTATAACAATATAATCTGATAACATATTTTGACTCTTTTGTGAGGTTTGTTGTGGCCTTTACAGTGCTCAACGTACTTTTCGGCCTTTCAGCCTCGAAATGAAATATACCGTGCTATTGATGACGCTGAAAGACCGAAACACTTATCCTGCACTATATGAGTGCCATAGCAGGTCTCATGAAAAACTCAAATTGTACTATCAGATCAAATTTTTTGAGCGAGGTTTTAGAAACAGTCGAAAGAAATGTATCACATGATAAGTCTTACCCGCAACGAGCGATCGACTGTAAAACACTGTACGACAGGTGGCGTTTCACCTTACGGCAATGTAAGTTGTCGCTCGTCGATTCCTTTGTATGTGGAGGGTCTCCCTGCAAGAGATTAGCGTTACGAAAGGCACCGTGCAATTGATGAGGCTGTCGGGCCGAAACACGTGTCTTGCTTTATATAAGTGCCATAGCAGACCTCATGATAGGAAAGGCTCAAAAAGTGTTATCAGATTTCCTCCAGATTGATCTGATTTAGATATCTCATGAACTGTCTTTTTTTTTTCAAAAGACTGCCCGAGATTGGTATATTTTCTTCGGAATCGGTGGCTAAAGCTCCGGTGATTTCGCCTTTTTGGAGCCGTTCAATTTCTCTTCTGGTAGAGCTCCATGTTCTGTTGTCACACATAAAGGTGACAGAAAAGTGAATTTTTTAAAATGTATGTAGACACATCGTGACCTCCATATACAAGTCGTTAAACGGCTTTGAAGAAGCTGATATCGCCGAAAAGTTAGCTATTGAATCTGAAGAACATCTAGTAGTCTTACCCAAGTTTTGGGTAGAAAAAGGAAAGTTCCGGAGATAGTTTTCAGATATCCTGCCGACGTTCAACGAGAGTCGCTCTCTTTTGCTTTAGATATGTCTTTCGAAACTCGAAAAAGGTGTACAGTGGAGTGCCTGTGATTGCGTCGAACATGGACACTGTTGGGACCTTTGAGATGGCGAAAGCTCTGGCTGCTCATAAAATGTTCACGACCATTCACAAACACTATACGGTTTGTTAATAGCATTGCATACAGAATGCCTCATATGATGTAGTAGAAGTTGGTACTATATTCCGTGCTCTATCAGTAAAAAATAGGACGCAAGTAGCCCATTCGTTTGGGGTGTTCTGCGACAAACATTTGGTTGATGGTTCGATCCGCGTCTTGGATCTCCCGATTCTTCCATCCCTCAGGGATCGGTGAATTGGTACCAGATTTGTCTGGGAGGATAGCAAGACTGGCTTGATACATTGAGGTAGGCCGCCGCGAGTTGTTGTTAAGGCTAGATATCCACCCAGTCAACTCTAATTGACATTTGATGAAGTCGAATGCTCGGCGCATCCTTAAGGGATTCATCTACGCCAAGAGCTCTATTCTGTTTTGTTTTATTTCAGCGTAAGATTCGTAGATTCCCCTCAGCATGACTTTCCTGAGAAAGTCTTTGATTTTCGAAATTATTTTGAACATTATAGGTTGGTGAATGGGAACTGTTCCGTAATGAGGTTCTAGGAACTGATTTGTTCAGTCATGTGGCAGTCTCGTCAGGAATATCCGATAGTGATTTAGAGAAGGTAAATGGCTCTATCAACTGAATTCGTAAATTTTTAGTGGAAGTCATCGATAAAAGTTGATCTCCAGCCGTTCACCAAGGAAGTGCAGTAGTCGGCATACTCTCTTCCATTCCCATACATTTAGAGCCGAAACTCTTTGACACTGAGAAAATGAGCTGTTTTGTTTGAGCTGTGAAAGCATTCTTGATTATGTAAGAGATTTCTCTCTAATAAATAATTGGTTCTTTTCTACATCGGGGAGCGAATGAGGAAACGACACCTTTTGCTGGGTAAAGACTTTCTATTGCACTTTCAGTAATCATTCATTAGCTTAGATCTCTCGCTACTGCGCCCCTTAGCCGTTTCTCGAAAAAGCTTTTTTAAAACGCTGTAGCACAAACAAAACATCTGTGTTGAACACACGCATATTTTTCGCAGAATAAAACACTTCTTTTCGTTCCAAGTGTTTTCCTAAGGCCACAGCTCAAATTGTAATATGCCTAATAACATTTTTGAGCCAAGCATGTCATGTGGCTTGTTGAAATGGGCTGACCTATAGAGCCCGGTACTTTTGTTTCGACTTCACAGTCTCTTCATCGGGCAGTTTAACCACATGACCTCTTTTAACAGAGCACATCTCATGCGTGGCTCAAAAATGATTATTTGGCATATTGCAATTTGAGCTGTGGTCTTAAGAAAACACTCGAAAAGAAAAATATGATATATTGAATATACTAGCTAAGAGCAATCGAGTGTACAACACTCTGTGTTTGGTGATGATTTCACTGGACACAGAGTGTAAAACGTTAGTCGTCGCTAACTCTTAGTGTGGGGACTGGAGCACCCACACAGGATTGGCAAAAGACGAGAAAGGTAACTGCCCGACTGACGAGATCGCAAGATCGAAACACGTGTATCAGGCTCTATAGGTCACTTTGATAGACCACTGACATGCGTGGCTCAAAAATAATCACCAGGTAGATAAAACACTTTCTTCAAATTATATATAACCGCTCGATGGCGTTGGCTTCCACAATTCTAACGCTGTGCTATTTTCTGGAAAACCGTTTCACTGCAATGTGCGAAGGAGAATAACATCAAGCTATACATATGCGGGCAATTCGTTTCTCGCTTAGTGTGGGCTAGAAATCTGCAGGGTCATAGATCCGATACGGCGTTCCGCGATCCATCGGTCAATCGGGCTGAGGCGGCTCACGTGTGGAGTGCAGTTTTTGTTATTTGATCGAGGATTTATTCTTTGCTTCGAAAGAAACTCCACATAAAACGTGCGACACTGATAATACAAGATTTGCTCAACACATGCTTTTCGTGCGTCCAGCGAAGTAACAACAAAAGCACGTGACCGGTGTAAGACATGGTTTTATTCTGAATGCTGCAGCGTTACTAAAGGGCTTTTCAAAAAATGAGCATATAGCGCAG